TGTGAGGCGGGCAGGCTGGTGTGGCCGCCCCTTCTATGGACGAGGGGTCAAGGTAAAGCGGCAAATGCAGCTTCCAGCAGCCGCAGCCCGTCCTGGCCACGCCCTCGCCCTTGCCCTCACCCTCCACCTATGACACCTGAAAACAAGGAGGGCAGGTCCCATTGCCACTGTTTTAAGAACTCATTTCCCGCCCAACCTGGCCAGCATGGCTCAGGGGTTGAGCGCTGACCTATGAACCAGGAGGTCACAGTTTGATTCCTGGTCACGGCACATGCCCGGGTTGCGTGCTCGATCCCCAGTCGAGGGGGGTGCAGGTCAATGATTCTTTCATCATTGATGATTCTCTCTCTCCTTCGCTCTTCCTTTCTGAAATCAATAAAAATACTAAATAAAAAAAAGAACTTATTCCCCCCCTTAAACGTGAATGCCCTGGGGCAGGCACTAGCTCACACAGCTCGTGGCCCCTGGGAAGGTGTGAGGGGATGGACATCCTTGCACAGCCGCTACACGCCAGGCCCTTTCCTATACCACCTGTGATTCGTCATGCTAATCTGTGAAGAGGAAACAGACTCAGAAGGCGAGGAGTTTCTCTGGGGTCACACCGCTAGGAGCTGAGCGCCCGGACTGTGTGCATGGAAGGGAGGGCCCCTCAATGCAGATGCGCCCAGAAACTGGTTTTAGAAAGCGGCGGCCAGGCCCCCTGAGCGGGGCTGTTCTCATCGCAGCAAAGTGCAGGCTGAGCAGCGAGGAGAGGGGGAGCCAGGCCTCACATCACCGCTCTCCTGGCCGCAGCCTCTCCGTGAGCTCCGCGTGAGGCACTGGCTTGGTGGCAGGGCATGGCTGGCACTGCTCGAGGGCGGTGAGGTGTTCTGAAGGAAGGAGGGCTGTTGGGTGCCTCAGTGTCCCCAGGGCAACTGGCCACTCCCCTGAGGCCCTCTCTCAGCACTTCCCTCAGCCTGGCCTGGGTGAGGGGCCTGGTGTCTGCTTGGGATGGCGGGAGGGCACGGACTCCTGGGAGGTTGGGATGTGCTGTGTGGGAAGGAGGCAGAGCCCAGTGTTCTCACCCCAGAGCGGGAGATGCCGCTTCCTCCCAAAGCCTTTAGGACCTGGGCCCCTCCACAGAGGGCCGTGTTCTAGTCACCCCTGAGATGGGCAGCGCCAGCCATGCCCGTGGAGGTGAGACACACTCCCACCCCAGCAGCTGTTCCTCTGAGAGTGCACACCTGTCTCTCGGCAGCTCTACCATGTCTCACTCCTACCCCAGCCCCGGCGCAGCCACCCACCCCGGGCACCAGCTGCTATCTCTCCGTGGTCCTTCAGATGCCTCCCGGGGCCAAGACTCTCTAGTCAGGTTAGCAAAGCTGTCCTCTCCAGACGTTAGCGATTCCACGCTTCGGGTCTGTGGCCTGAAGCCCGCCCCTGAGTGCACTCTGCTCAGAGGCATTTCTTACTTGGTTTTGAACTTGAAGCAATCTTTTTTTAAAATCCATCCTGACAAAGGCTTTACTGACAACTTTCCATACAGTTAGTAAAATACAGAACACAGAACAAAATACAAAATACAGAACAGCAGACAGCATTTCGTACACTAGAAACCAACACGACGGAAACACCTTCTCATCTCGGGAAAAGCTCCAAGCCCTAAGCACTTAGTTTTGGTGGGAACAGGACTGCGGTCTCCCACCTAACGAACCAAAACAACCCAGCAGAGAGTTCTAACCAGGGGGTAGGACTGAGGCAGCGGGTCAGATTTTAAAATAACTTCAGCATTTCTTACTGTGAGAGAGCGATAGAGTACAAGAAGGCACGCATCTTAGGAGTATGGGCAGAGCACATAAAGGAGACACACCTAACTCTCCTGCCTTCATGCTAGCCAGTGGTCGGCAAACTCAGTAGCCAACAGAGCCAAATATCAACAGTATAACGACTGAAATTTATTTTGAGAGCCCAATTTTTTAAACGTAAACTATATAGGTAGGTACATTGTTATTAACTTAACACATTTCGTGCCGCTCAGGAGCTTTCTCGTGTTTCGCGCCCATGGAAAAAGGAGCGAATCTAGACACTTATGTAAATTTTGTTTGGTCCCTCTTCATAGAGGAAAATGTTTTACGCAGTACCATACGTTAAAAAAGGACTAGGAACTTTAATTGTTTGTTGTTGTAAATAAAAATGTTACAATTATTGAAAAACAACACCTAAAGTGCATTATGATGATTTAAATAACATGCAGTTTGCCCAAAAACGTGCGGTCCCTGGCGTATGTCTTAGAGACTTCTATGCGGTACGCAATGTGCTAATTAGGGTACTCCTAAGGCTTAGGAAGAGCCACACTCAAGGGGCCAAAGAGCTGCATGTGGCTCGCGAGCCGCAGTTTGCCGACCACTGTGCTAGCCTATCCATCTGTTCACCCATCCACCCACCCACCAACCCATCCATCCATGCATTATCCATATGTCCATCCATCCATCGACCCACCCATCTAGCCATTCATCTACCTACTCAACCATCCATCCATCCATCCTCCATCCATCCACCCACCCACCCACCCACCAATTCATCCATCCACCCTTCCATCTATCCATTCATCCATCCATCCACCCACCCACCCACATCCATCCATCCATCCATCCACTCATCTACCCACCCATCCACCCATCCATCCATCCACCACCCACCCATCCACCCATCCACCCATCTAGCCATCCATCCATCCATCCATCCATCCATCCATCCATCCATCCACCCGTCCACTCTTCCATCCATCCATCCATCCACCCGTCCACTCTTCCATCCATCCATCCATCCACCCGTCCACTCTTCCATCCATCCATCCATCCATCCATCCATCCATCCATCCACCACCCACCCACCTATCCACCCATCCATCCATCCACCCACCCACCCATCCATTCATCCACCCAACCATCTATCCATCCACCCATCCATCTATCTATCCACCCACCTATTCATCCATCCACCCTTTCATCCATCCATCCATCCATCCATCCATCCATCCATCCACTCATCTACCCACCCATCCACCCATCCATCCATCCACCACCCACCCATCCACCCATCCACCCATCTAGCCATCCATCCATCCATCCATCCATCCATCCATCCATCCACCCGTCCACTCTTCCATCCATCCATCCATCCACCCGTCCACTCTTCCATCCATCCATCCATCCATCATCCATCCATCCATCCATCATCTATCCATCCATCCACCCACCCACCTATCCACCCATCCATCCATCCACCCACCCACCCATCCATTCATCCACCCAACCATCTATCCATCCACCCATCCATCTATCTATCCACCCACCTATTCATCCATCCACCCTTTCATCCATCCATCCATCCATCCATCCATCCATCCATCCACCCATCCATCCACCCTTTCATCCATCCATCCATCCATCCATCCACCCATCCATCCATCCATCCCTCCATCCATCCACACACCCATCCATTCATCCACCCACCCACCCACCCATCCACTCATCATCCATCCATCCATCCATCCATCCATCCATCCATCCATCCATTCATCTATCCATCCATCCATCCATCCATCCATCTATCCATCCACCCATCTAGCCATCCATCCATCCATCCATCCATCCATCCATCCATCCATCCACCCACGCACCTATCCACCCACCCACCCATTCATCCATCCACCCTTTCATCCATCCATCCACCCACCCACCTACCCACCCATCCACCTACCCACCCACCCATTCATCTACCCATCTAGCCATCCATCCATCCATCTATCCATCCACCCATCCACCCACCCACTCATCCATCCACCCACCTATCCACCCACCCATCCGTCCACCCTTCCTTCCATCCATCCATCCACCCATCCATCCACCCTCCTATCCATGCATCCATCTACCCATCCATCCACCCTTCTATCCATGCATCCATCCATCCATCCATTCACCTATCCACCTACCCATCCATCCATCCATCTAGCCATTCATCCACCCACCCACCCACCCATCCACCTACCCACCCACCCACCCATCCATCTAGCATTCATCCACCCACCCATCCACCTACCCATCCACCCATCTGTCCACTCATCCACTCACTCACCCTCCATCCTGCAGAGTTCTGTGCTGCTCTGGTACATGCTGAGGGGTCTAGAGACATCCTTTCTTTTTCATCCCCAGAGCACTTGCCATTTAGTAGGTTACCAATGACCACAGACAAGACCAAATGAAGTCTGTGTCCCCAGGAAGGAGTGTTCAGGGATTAGATGCGAGGGAGATGCTGCCAGCCTTTGCTCAGTCTCCAGGAGAGCCCCACCTTCACCCGGCCCAGATATTAGCTTGTCTAGAGCCAGAGACAAAAATGTTTCCAAAGACACAGGAGACGGAGGCTGTCCAGGCACTTGGGCCTGAGCCAGCCAGCGTCAAACAGTGGAGAATCCCTCGCCCCAGTGACCAGGCCCACCTGCCCCAGTGAACATGCCCACCTGCCCCAGTGATCAGGCCCACCTGCCCCAGTGAACAGGCCACCTGTTAAGTGGGCCTCCAGGCTGGGAGAGAGCCCGAGCAGGAGAGACGTGATGTGCACAGAGGCCTCGCACCACAGGGACCAGGTGGTCCGGGGCCTCAGCAGCCCACAGGAGGGGGCCAGGCCTGCACGAGGCCCTGGCCTGTGGGGTAAGGACCGTGGAGTATGTGGGGGTCTCTGGGTATTTCCAGGAGCACTGCTGGACTGTCCTCACAGGCACAGATCCTGAGTGGGTTTCCCGGGGAAACGGGAAACTTTGGAGCAGGGCAGGAGCCATCAGGGCACCAGCCATGCCCGGCTGGTCCCCACCAGGGCGGCAGGAGCAGCGGCTGGGCCAGGAGGCTCGGGGAGAAGCCCTCTGCCTGGATCGTCAGCAGATGGAAATCCTTCCTGCAGCCTGGCTCTTCCCGGTCAGTGGCCCCTCCCCAGCCCCTCACTGGGTCCCCCAGGGGCAAACTCACCGTGGTGTCCTGCCCTGGGGAGCTGCTGCGGCTGGGCCCAGGGGCCAGGCCCTTCCCCTTCTCCCACAGAGTGTACCGGGCGCTGGGTCGGTAGGTGGGGCTGAGGACTTCAGGGACTCGCGAGGGAGGAGCCTGGGCAGGAAGCTGAGGGGTGCTGCCCTTGCGCCCGTAGTTCTCCAGGTAGTCGGCCAGGTACTCCGAGTGGCTGGCTGCCTGGTAGAGGCCCTGCAGGGCACACAGCTCCCGGCGGGTGCGGGCCAGCCCGGGGCTGCGGCCCAGGGTCCCGGGGTCCAGGCGGTAGCTCTCCGAGGCCCGCAGGCTGGAGAAGTCCCTGGCCAGGTCGAGCTGACTGCTGGACTTCTTCTGCGTCAGGGGCAGCCCCTGGCTGCGGGCACTCATAGGCAGGTAGCCGAGGGAGCTACTGGTCACTCCATATGGGAATCCACTGCCCCCACTGAGTCCGCTCCCTACTGGCCGCTCGAGGCCTCGAGCCTGGCTCTCTGCCTTCTTACCACCCCCGAGGACATCTGGTCTCAGCAGGGGGCGGCCCCGGTCATAATCCAGAATGGAGGAAGGGCCATAGGTACTGGGCCGGGTGAGGAAGCTGGCCGGGGGGCCCGGCTTGAAACCCCGCTTCTCCTTCTCTAGGAAGGAGGCAGCCAGGGTGGCGCCATAGGAGGAGGGGGTGTAGGAGCCATAGCCTGACTTGGCGTAAGGGGTGTCTGCGTAGCGTGCTGAGTCCGTGTAGCGCTTCAGCGTGGAGGAGAGCTGGGACATCCTTCAGGGCTGTGCTCAGTGGGGACCGGGAGCCTCATGGGCTGAAAGACAAGGAAAGGTCATCAGAGGGCCCTGCCGGGGGTCGGCTCCTAACGTTCCTGCTCCCCCATCCTCCACCTCCGGAAGGAACCCTGGATCTCAACTAGGGACCACACAGTCCCTTTCCACAAGAGGCTGGCCCGCCGCTGAGCAACATGCCGCTGCATGGTGCATACACAGGTGGGCGTGCAGGTCTGCAACATTCAGGCATTCACACTTCGGGGAGAGCACAGAGGGGACTGGCTTTGATGAGCCACCAGGGCAGTCAGTCTCAGCACCTCGTGGCCTCCCTGAGTGCCCCCCTCCGAACACCAACATGCCAGCAGGAACTGCCCTCTGCAGCCTCCAGCCACACACACAACCCCAGCCCAGTCCAGCGCTCCTCCTCGGCCTCTGCAGAACCTTTGGCGGGAGGCTGCACTGCCCTCGCCCTCGCCCTCGCCCTCTGAGAGAACCTGGACAGTGCAAGAGTCAAGACCATCCCACTCCCATCTGACTCATGGGACAGTGGGAGTCTTTGGAATCGGACGGTCTGAGCGGAAAGACCAGAGGATCCTTGGACCAGATTCCTGGCGAGGAAAAGCAGGCCCCTGAGAGGGAGCGGGTGGGGAGGAGAGCGAGCGGGTGCTGGGAGGCGGCTTGACCTTGGCCTCCACACTCCATCCCCGAGCCCCCCACACCTGCTGCAGTGGCAGAACCCACCTTCACCCTGAGCGGAGGCTCCTGCTCTAAGTGGATCAGAGCCCCGTGGCCTCCCGGCCCTGCCAGGTCCATGCCCAGCTGCTCCTGGTGAGGAGGACGTGCCCCTAGACCCGTCCGTGGTCGGCAAACCGCGGCTCGTGAGCCACATGCGGCTCTTTGGCCCCTTGAGCGTGGCTCTTCCACAAAATACCACGTGTGGGCGCGCGTACAGTGCGATTGAAACTTCGTGGCCCATGCGCAGAAGTCGGTATTTTGTGGAAGAGCCACACTCAAGGGGCCAAAGAGCTTCATATGGCTCGAGAGCCGCGGTTTGCCGAGCCGCAGTTTGCCGACCACGGCCCTAGACTCCAGAGCAGTGGTTCTCAACCTTCTGGCCCTTGAAGGTTGAGAACATGAGGAACTGAAGTTCCTCATGTTGTGACCCAACCATAAAATTATTTTCGTTGCTACTTCATAACTGTAATGTTGCTACTGTTATGAATTGTAATGTAAATATCTGATATACAGGATGGTCTTAGGTGACCCCTGTGAAAGGGTCGTTTGACCGCCAAAGGGGTCGCGACCCACAGGTTGAGAACCGCTGCTCTAGAGGCTGACATCTGCACTGCCGGTGGCACACGCCATGTTGCCCCAGGCGCTCACGCTGGGGAGATCTGGTGAAGGAACACAGACCAGCGGAGCCAGGATGCGAACCCAGGCCTTTCAGGTTTCCAGCCCAGTGCTCTTCACACATGACCTTGATTTACGCCTCCCATCAAACGCAGGCTCACTCGGGACCCCCAGAGTCCCTTCCTCACCCCCAAAGCGCAGGCTTTATCTGCAGTGGAGCTGGAGGGCACAGAGGCTTTGGAGAGAGCAGCAGGTAGGATCAGGCCCCTTTCCTGAGGGCCACCGGGAGCCCTTGGGGTTGGGGGTGTGTGGAGAGCCGCCCAGGACCCTCGGAGCAGTGTGTGCAGGCGCGGGCAGTGACGCCCTGTGATGGACTAGCTGGGTGACTCTGCCCTCATCATTTCACGCTCCGACCCTCGAGTCCCAGCGTTCTCACCGTAAAGCAAGTATAACATTGCCATCCTCCCTCCCTCACAGGGCTGTTGTGAGGAGTTAAGTGAGATAATGACACGGGAAAGCCCTCCACAGGACAGCTATTACCCCCCCCCCCCCCCCCGCCCCCAGGCAGCCTGTCCACCCCGCCCTTGGTGAGCCTGGAATAAGTTAAGGCAGGGCTGGGTCCCTCCCAGTTGCGGTGGCTTCTGACCTCAGCCTTGAGCACTCAGGTTCCCGCAGCCCCCAGTGACCTGTACCCCCTCTTCGGGGGTAGCTGTTTAGGAGGCAGCGGCAGCAATGTGGCCGCAGAGGAGGCAGGCAGCAATGTGGCCGCAGAGGAGGCAGCGGCAGCAATGTGGCCGCAGAGGAGGCAGCGGCAGCAATGTGGCCGCAGAGGAGGCAGGCAGCAATGTGGCCGCAGAGGAGGCAGGCAGCAATGTGGCCGCAGAGGAGGCAGCGGCAGCAATGTGGCCGCAGAGGAGGCAGCGGCAGCAATGTGGCTGCAGAGGAGGCAGCCTGCAGCTTGCCAGGCCTGCAGCTCAGCCCATTAGGGCAGAGAGGAGCTGGCGCCAAGCCCCACACACCGAGGGCTTGGCAGAGGCACTAGAAACTCGGTCCATGCCAGGCTTGGGGTCAGTGCAGGGGGAGATCGCAGATGGCAATGTTCACAGGGCTCCAGAACAAAACGTCTAAGGTTCTGGAGACCTCCGGCAGTTTCCAGCCCAGGCTGCCTCCGACAAATCCGGCCCACATCTATTGTCTAACTTTCTCCCACCTGCTGGACCCCGACCTTCACGCATACTCCCTGGCCCGCTGTGCTCCCACCTCCAGCACAATCTCCACACCTTTCTAGGGAAGGGTGGCTGCAGGAAGCCCTTATTCAGGGTTGGGGAAACCATGAGCCTTCCTCGCATCGACTTAACTTTCTGGGGTGCAGAGAAGGAAGCGCGTGAGAGCTGCGGGAGGCTGGGGAGGAACAGACAGAGGCCTGGGGCTGGGGAGGAACAGACAGAGGCCCAGGGGCTGGGGCCCAGTCCAGTCGGGCTGTTTCACTATTGATGAGGACGCCATCAATAATTCACAGTCACAGAAACTCCAGGTCTCGGGAGCTGGGCTCCAGGACACTGAGCTGCCAAGCAGATAGGACCTGCCACTCCCATGCCTTTCTGCCTCGGGCCAGGGCTGTCTCCCTCCCCCACGCCAGGCTCCTGGGAGTTGGCTCTCTGTGCAGCGCCCAGCTCATGACCTCTCCTGGCTGCTGACGGTGCAGAAGGGCTGTCGCCAAGCTAGGGGCAGCCTGGACAGGGACAGGGACAGGGACAGACGGACAGATGGACAGCTCTGGGACAGCTCATGAGCAGCCCTGGGAAGAGTTGGGGCTGGAGGTAGACCACACCTTCTGGCCCCAGAGTCCCAGGGGGGCTCCTAAATCCCTGCTTTTCCGTCTGCTCCCATCTGGTGAGCAACTGGCAGACCTCGCCACCCCTGGAAGCTGCCCCGGGGACGGGGGGTGGGGGGTGTCCTGCTCCCACACACAGCCTTCTGGAAGCTGCCTGCCAGCACTGAGCTCTGTCTGGCTCACAGTCCACACGTCTGGCAGAGGGTCCCTGTTGGGCTGAGGCCTGAAGCAGGCCTATCCCCCTCCCCTGCCCCGCCCCGCCCTGCTGTCTCACTCTTGAGACAAGTGCTAGTGCCTTCCAGGGGAGCAGACAGGTTGGGGTGGGCCCCGCTCCTCCCGGCATTACCTGGTAGGGCTGACCCCGGAGGCTGCATCCCGCACCTTGGGTGGGAGACCAGGCCAGGCCCCGGTGGTATCCTTGCCACACAAGCCAGGGGCAGGACTGGCACTCACAGGGCCACAGGAACAGGCTGAGCAGAATGGCCTTTCCATGGGGCAGTGGGAGACATGCTGATTGGCTGGGGCAACCTCCTCCCAGTCCCTGCCCAGTGGGGGGTCCTGCTGCCTGGCTTCTGCCCGTGTGCCCAGCGCTGGCAAGTACAGGCATGTGGCTCCAGAAGGCACCGCCCAGGTGCCAGCCACCTCCTCCTCCGGGCCATCTCCTCTCCCTGCTCGGCTCCCCACTCTGCTGTTTCCCCCTCTTGGGAGGGGCAGCAACATTCCTCTGTACAGAGCATTCAGCCTCCTGATAGGACAGGTGAGCCAAGCACCATCCCCCCTGCCCCCCAACAGATACTGCCCCCCTCGGGCCAGGGGCTGTGCTGAGCACTGCACACGCAGCCTCAGCGCCAGCACTCAGCCTCGCCACACGCCTTCAGACGTGTCCCCCACATCTCAGCGCAGTGCTGAGCTTGAATTCTTTTGGAAGAATAAATGCCTTGCTCTGGCCGCAGTGACTCAGTTGGTTGGGTGTTGTCTGATGCACCAAAAAGTCACTGGTTTGATTCCTGGTCAGGGCACATGTCTGGGCTGCGGCTCAATCCCCAGTGGGGGCAGTGCAGGAGGCAATGATCAATGATTCTCTCTCATCGTTTCTCTCACATCGATGTTCCTTTCTCTTTCTCTCTCTCTCTAATAATAATAATAATAATAATAATAATAATGAATAAATGCCACAAACATCATTTGAAGATTTAATTTTTTACATTAAATTGAAATTAAAAGTATTTTTATTCAAAAATTTAAAAATAAATAGACAAGAAATATAAAGAATGGCGCATTCGAATGAAGCACCCATATTCCTGGAGTTACTAAAGCCTAACCCTTCCCTGATGCTCCCGGAAGCCTGCGATGGCCTCGTCTCCTCCCCAGGAGTAGGTGCTGATCGCCTGCTCCTGTGCAGTCACACGGGTCCCCAGGCCGCGCTGGGAGGAGGGGCAGAGCTGGGGGGATGTGGGTTCTGCCTGTCACAGCCGCCCTGACCTTGGCCCCCACTTCACCTTGCCCTCTGCTCTCCCTGAGCTGGCCCAGGGTGGGGGGGCTCCAGGCGTCACTGTCTGGCCACAGCCAGGCCGAGGCGAGGCGGCAGCCTCCGGGGAGCAGCCCCTGAGTTTCCACTGCAGGGGAGTGACAGTCAGGTGCAACCTGAGCGCACGATGCTGATGGCAGCGCAGGGCTGATGGCAGCGAGATGGCTGGGAGGCCTTTTCCTGCAGCCCCCCCCCCCCCCCCCCGGGGCCAGCCTGCCACGGCTTCGGCCTGGGCCTGGTCAGGGACATGTGGCCGCCCACCCTCCCACCTTCCTGCCGCTGGGCTCACTCCCCAAAGCAGCCAGGCCAGATGAGTCAGGGGTGCAGATGAAACCGAGCCCCGGGGCAGCCAACCCCCTTGCAATCAGTCACTGTCATTTCCTGTTGCTCACGTGCAAGGTTCCCGAACCTGCCAGGCCAGGGGAGGACTTGCTCCCCAGGAATCCCGGGCACTCCTGGCATCCAGGAGGGGACAGGGAACGTCCTACGTCCCAGCAGCCTTCCTGGCCCTGCTCTGCCCAGCTGTGCCCTGCTCTCTGGGGTGAAGGCATGCCAGCTCCCAGATGGAAAGCCCACGGCTGGGTCCCCAAGGCAGGCCTCCACAGGACCCAGGTTCACCCCCTGCCAGGTGGCCAGGGCAGGTGCGTGAGAACCACCCAGCCCTGCCCAGCAGTGTCGTCAGAGCATCCCATGGCCACTGGCGAGGGCAGGAGGCCCTGCTGATGTGCTGACACAAAAGGCAAAGTGGCCGAGAGGGGCCCTGTCTCCCCTCACCTCCCCCTGACCCTCCCTCCAGCTGTCCGGGCACTGGCTGGGCACCCGCGGGAGTGTGGGAACCTCAGGCTGCCCAGGCAGGTGTGGAGACGCAGGTGGAGTGGAGGCCTGGGGTGAGGATACCTGTGCTCACATCACCCGGGAGACCTGTGGGCTCCTCTCGGGCCCAGGAGCCTCGGCCCGCCACTCCTTCCCCGCCTGTCCCTGGCAGCTCTAGCTGTGAGGGGAGCAGCCAGTGACCCACCCATAGTGCCTAATAGTTTTACAGGCCTTGACAGGGGTCATGGAAGGGAATTTGGAGCCATTTTTGTCTCTCCGGCTCCCAGGAGGTGCCCAAGGATTGGGAGAGGGGTGGGAGAAGAGGTAAAATAGAGAGATTGAAGATGACAGCAAGAATCCTGACTGGCTGAAAAGAAGTGGGTGGGCCCAGGGGAGTATTCCCATTGGGTAATGCTTTGATTTGGGGTTGGGAGAGGGTAGGCATCTCTACAGGGCTAAGAAAAGGCACCGGAAATGGGCCCCAGACAGAATTGAAATCCTGAAGTTCCCTCCCGCCACCTCTGCGGGGCGCTCTGCTCTCCCGGGCCTCCTCCCAGGGCGCGGCTTTCTCTCCCTCGCCCCTCCAGGACTCCATCCTGTCTTGTTCCTGACCTCCAGCCTCTGGTCTTGCCCACAGCAGCCACCAGGCCTGGTGGCCGTCTCTCCAATGTTCCCCCAAACAGTCCAGGGCCCTCCATTCAGCATCCCCGTGAAGCTCAGATATTAAAGGGGCAGCTACTGACCTGTGCTGGGGGGCAATGGGCAGGATCTGGGGGCTCCCTTCCCCGGCTGGGCCGGAGCGCGTGGCGAGCCCTGGTGGCCCTGGAGTACGCCTCTGGGCTGGTAACCCGGCTCAGGTTGCTGACTGATATATATAGCATCTTATCTGACCTCACAGCCATGGCCAGCTAGCTCCACTCACTACATTCCAAGCCCAGGGGGAATTAAAGGGGCAGCGACAGGCTTCCCTTCAGGGGCTGCCCTAATGGGCTGGGCCAGACCAGGACTCCCAAGAGGACTCTCTGAATGGGGGACACTTTGAAGTGAAACTGAAGGGGGATTTCAGATTTCAGGTGGAACAACTGGAAAGGGGGCAGTAGGATGGGGATGGGATGGACGCAAAATATGCAGAAGCAGGTGCCAGTCACAGACTTAGAGGCAAGGAAGAAAGAAGCACAGTACGGCCCGACTCCCGTGCTTCTGAGATGAAGACCTCAAGGTGACAGCCCCTCGTTCAAGGGCACAGACTCCGAGAGGCGAAGAGACTGGCGCCCAGACTTCCAGCCCAAACCCTTTTACAGCGAGCTCCCAGCCTGGGCTCTCAGCCCCGTTCCTTCCCTTCCAGTGGCTCTGAGACAGAGGACAAGTCACGTAGGCTGTCGGAACCTCAGTTATTTAATCCACAAAACAGGAGTCATAGTCAGCATATAACAGACCTCCCAGTGCGAGGGTTAAATAAAACACATGGCAACATCCTGGCATAACCAGAGCCCCGGCACAACACGGACTGGCACGAGGTGGGCTGGGAGGCCGCCTCCTCCTGCAGTCCAGCTCCTGCATGTCCCCTGGCCTCTGGCTAGCCCTGGCCATGGCCCTTGGCCCACAGCCTGGTCAGGGACACGCACCCCAGCCTCCTAATGTGACAATATAATTATTATTGTGTTGAATACTTCCACTATCATCATAGTTAGTGGTGGTATTTCTTGTTGTTCTTGTTAATCCTCACCCGATGATATTTTTTCCATTGATTTTTAGAGAGTGGAAGGGAGGGGAAGAGACAGAGAGAGAGAAACATCGATATGAGAGAAACACATCGATTGGTTGCCTCCTGCATGAGCCCTGCCCAGGGCCAGGGAGGGGCCTGCAACTGAGGTACATGCCCTTGACTGGAACTTATCCCGGGACCCTTCAGTCCGAGGCTCTATCCACTGAGCCAACCTGGCTAGGGCTAACAGTCATCATAATAATGCCATATCTCCCAGTGGTGAGGGTTAAATAAAACATGTCAATATCCTGGCACGTAGTAAGAGTTCGAGAGGTGGTCATTATTATTATAGTGACTAGTTCCACTATGGTTACAATTAGTGGTCGTATTTCCAGCAGCACCTCCAGGTGAGCCTTCTTAGGGAGAACAGAGCCTCTGTGCTGGCCCTCGGAGCACCCTGCCCTGGTGCTAGGAGGCGCCCCGCTCTCCTGAGCTGGTCTGTGCCCGCACCGGCCAGGGCCAACGCGGCGTGCCATCCTCCCAGCGCTCCCGCCACCCACCGGAGGCGGCCAGGCCCACGGGCGCCTTCCTCCTCGGCCCAGAAAACCCAGCCAGCGCAGCTGCTCCCGCGGCTCACTCTACCTGCGCGAGCGCTCCGTGTCCAAGGCCGCAGAGCTGGGCTGGGCAGGGCCACGGCGGAAGGAGCGGGGTTCTCAACCTCTCGGCCTCGGCTCAGTCTGTTTCTCGAAGGCTCTGCCTATGAACTGGGGAGTCCCCAGGCTGTGCCTCACCCTGTCGTGGCCGAGGCCCTGACTCAGCTGAGCCCTGGTGATGCACTTCAGAGGACGCCCTGGCCCGGCCCTCATTCCAGGCCTGGTGACTACTCCTTTGGCAGCATCTGTAGCATCAAAGGAGTGCGGGTGCCCAACCCCAGCTCAACCAGCTCTCCTGCCCTCCACTGTACGGGGTCCCACTTGGGGGACCTTCACACGCCATGCCTGGGGAGGTGATCATCACCCCAGTCTGCAACTCAGCCCCATTCTATTTTTTTTAACTTATATTTTTATTGATTTCAGAGGAAGGGAGAGGGAGAGAGAAACATTAATGATGAGAACCATTGATCAGCTGCCTCCTGGACGCCCCCTACTGGGGATCAAGCTCTCACCGGGAATCCAGCCGGTGACCTCCCGGTTCAGAGGTCGCCGCTCAGCCCCTGAGCCACAGGGCGGGGCTCAGCCCCATCCCAGAGGCAGCCGGGCGGGCAGCAGGTGGCCAGTCCTCAGAGACCAGCCGGACGGGTCGGCCGGGGCTTCCCTGGGCGGTGACTTGCCCTGGAGCACCCCTCCCCCACCCGCCCCGGCTTCTGGTTCGGGATGGGGGAGAATCCCCCATCACTGCACTGCTGCCCCCACCCCGACACCCCACTCCGCTGGGCACCCCCTCCCGGGAGCTGTACAGGAGGAGGGAGTCAGTGTCCAGGCGGCTCTCAGGCCACACACAGGGCACCGGGCACAGGGCACTGGGACCCCGACCCGCCAGAGCGCGCGTCCTGAGAACCACCGGCCAGCACGCAGCCCCGCCCGCGCGGCAGCCGCTCTACCGGGTCTCCAGGGCCCGCTCCGCCCGGCGGTCCCGGGCGCTCAGCGCTCGGAGCCTCAGAGGCGCCGACCTCCGCCCCGGCCTCCCCGCCCGGCAGGTGGCACGTACCCGCGTCTGCTCCGAGGGTGGCCGCGCCGAGCCGGGCACGAGCATGGGGCCGCGGGTGCCCCGGGCCGGTCCGAGCGCGGACAGCTCCCGGCCTCCGCTCCGTCGCCTCCCGCACCTCCGCCTCCCGCACCTCGGCCCGGGGCCGCGAGGACCTCCCCGGGCAATGGGCGCCACCCAGCGGGCAGCCGCCGCCTCGCGCCGGGCAGCGAAGCCCCGCCTCGCGCGTCACCGAGACGCCGCACGGCGATTGGCTGGGCCTATTGTGGCGTCATTAGCGCCCGCCTTGCTAGGGTCTCCCTGGCAACGCGTGGTACCGGGCCACGTGGAGGAAGAGCCCCAAGTTTGGAGGCGGAAGAGCACGAAGACCTAGACCAGAAGCGACCCCAGGGCAGGACGGTGGGCGGCAGGGACGCAGGAACAGGCAGGGAGGAGGGGGGCATGGGGAGGAGTGGGGGGCCGTGGGGAGGAGGAGGGGGGCCGTGGGGAGGAGTGGGGGGCCGTGGGGAGGAGGAGGGGGGCCATGGGGAGGGGGGCGTGGGAAGGAGGGGGGCCGTGGGGAAGAGGAGGGGGCTGTGGGAAGGAGGAGGGGGGCCGTGGGGAGGAGTGGGGGGCCGTGGGGAGGAGGAGGGGGCGGTGGGGAGAGGCCCAGAGCTTGCACCCTGGGGCGTGTGTGTCAGCTCTGTAGTCAGGGAGGAGGGCCTGCTCTTCAGCCCCCTTGCCCCTAAAAGACACTCTGCCCCTTTCACTACCGTGAGAGCAGTGCCTGGTGCTGACTCCTCCAGTGGGTAAAGGAAGGGAGGTGCTGAGGCCACCTTCGGGACTCTGGTCTTCCAAGAAAAAGCGGAGGCGGAACTTGCATTTCGACCCTCCTCCTCTCCCCAGGGTGAGGAAACCCGCACAGCCAGGCCAAGGGGCGTCAAGACAAATCCAGGTTTTCCGTTTCCCTGGACCATCAAACCAAGCAAAGCGCCGCCCTCGGCCTTCCCCTAGGCCAGCGGTCGGCAAACTCATTAGTCAACAGAGCCAACGATTGAAATTTCTTTTGAGCCAAATTTTTAAACTTAAACTATATAGGTAGGTACATTGTTATTAACTTAATTAGGGTGCTCCTAAGCTGGCCTTTGCTAAAAACGTCCTCAATCTGATTGAGGTACGTTTGCTGAGGTCGACCCCTTCCAACTCTCCCATCCGCACTCATCTTGTATACTTGTTTCGTCGATCTCCTTTCCTAAAACCGACTTCTGCGCATGGGCCATGAAGTTTCAATCGCACTGTACCACTGCCCTAGGCCACCAGGAGGAAGCCCAGCAGCCTTGGGTGGCTCCACCCACTGGCAGGAGTGCCCAGCTGGCATTTGTGTTCATTGCCACTCCTCTGAAGTCCCTGTGTTGTCTGTTTCCCGGACAAATTAGAGGAGAAAAATACTTAAATTTTTGCCTGCAATGAATTCAGATATGTATCTGAATTCATTCTTCCTTCTGCTCCAAGTAAGAAGGGGTGTGTCTCTTGTTGTTTCAGACTAACCTTAAGGTTCGAGAATGTGGATCTCAGCCCTTTGTTTCCTTGGGGCCCTGATTAGATCACATTTTACAGGGGGTGACTGACCGTGCCAGGCACTCTTCTAGGCTTTGAAGATACAGCAGTGAACAAAACAGGCAAAATCCTTGAATTCTAGTAGAAGCAGGACAATCATCAAATAAGTATACCCTCCAGTATGTTAGATGGTAGTGATAGCTATCCCCCGGGAGGGGAGAGGGCGGGGTTCAGTTGCAGTCAGAGATGGCCCCCAGGAGCAGGTGCCAATTTAATGAGCTGACGGAGGTGAGGGGAGAACCATCTGGATGTGTTGGGGGAGAATGTTGAACACAGAAGGAATAGTACATGCAAAGGTCCTGAGGTGGAAGCATACTTGCCACTTTTGAGGATGAACCGCAAGGTTATTGTGGCTGGAGTGATGAGAGAGAGAGAGAGAGAGAGAGAGAGAGAGAGAGAGAGAGAGAGAGAGAGAGATGAGGTCAGAGCTAAGGGAAGGACTTCGCCGTGGCTCTAAGGCCGTGTGACGACGTTTGAGAGAGAAGCATCACTTTGTCGCTCCACTTGCTTAGGCATCATTGGTTGACTCTTATCTGTGCCTTGACCGGCATCGGACCTGCAGCCTTGGTGTATGGGACCAGCTGTGACCGACTGAGCTTCCCGGCCAGCGCTGGTTGTATTTTTTTTTTTTAATATTTTATTGATTTTTTACAGAGAGAAAGGGAGAGAGATAGTTAGAAACATCCATGAGAGAGAAACATCGATCAGCTGCCTCCTGCACATCTCCCACTGGGGATGTGCCCGCAACCCAGGCACATGCCCCTGACCGGAATCGAACCCGGGACCCCTCAGTCCGCAGGCCAACGCTCTATCCACTGAGCCAAACCGGTTTCGGCGGGCTGGTTGTATTTGAACGTAGAACCTCCAGGGTCTTCTGATGGGCTAGTTCCATGAAAGAAAGGGGGGGATTGTTGGCCTGATCATTGAGAGGGTGTAGGCTGTGGAGGAAGCAGGTTTGGGGGAGGGGAGGTCAGGAGCTTGGTTTAATATATTTAAGTCTTAGATGTCTATCAGTCATGTTAAGGTGTAAAGAAAGTGGCTGGATGTACAAGTTTGGCAAAATATCGGTTGAAGATACAAAATTGAGAGTCATCAGCTAATGGTTGTTATTTAAAGCCATGAGGTTAGAAGATTCCCAGGAACAAGTATAAATAAAAAAAAACATGCAAGGGTTGGTGTGGCTCAGTGGATAGAGCGTCGGCCTGCGGACTGAAGGGTCCCAGGTTCGATTCCAGTCAAGGGCATGTACCTTGGTTGCAGGCACATCCCCAGTGGGGGGGTGTGCAGGAGGCAGCTGATCGATGTTTCTCTCTCATCAATGTTTCTAACTCTCTATCCCTCTCCCTTCCTCTCTGTAAAAAAAAAAAAAAAAAAAAATTAAACAAACAAACAAACATGCAAGGACAGAATCTTGGAGCTTTCCAACAGTCTATGATTTTATTTTATTCTTATACTAGAGGCCCAGTGCACAAAATTCATGCAATGGTAGGGTCCCTAGGCCTGGCCTGTGATCAGTGCCATCTTCCCCAGCTGCCAGCAGCCGGCCCCACTCCCTGCTGCCACCCACCCCCAGTTCCCCGTTCACCAGCAGGCGATTGGAGCCTGCTGGCTGGGAGTGAGGGGGTGGGGGAAGAACCAAAAGAACCAAAAGATTGGCCATCCTGCCCACTTGCCGGCCCCGGCCCCTGCCACCAGTTGCCCTCTGTGTATGGGGTGACCGGCAGGGTGGGGGCCTTGGCCTGGTGCCACCCACATCTACCACCACCCATCCC